GCCAGTGGCATGTCCAGGACATTCTTAGGCGTTGCGGTTATTGTCTTTGTAGGCCTCGCCGTCTCCGTTTCGCCCCATGACAGGAACAGACTCTTTTCTATTGCTGTGATTGGGTGGATTTCGTTCATGTTGGATCTGCAGGATTCATTCGCTTGCAGCCCTTTACTCAAACGGGCGCCATCGACGAAGATTCGGAGTCCGGCAAAGAGCCGAAGGACAGGTGAGTTTGGTAGAGAGAGAGAGGACGTCAGCATTCTGCCTGCTCTATTTAAGCCTTGTTGCAAAGGACTGCTGCAGAAAAATCAAGCAAGAGTCTTTATGCGCAATACAATACACCATACTCGAATATACGATAATATACGTACTACACTATGATATATGCAAATTTTAGAGCATACTATAGTTCACGGTAGTATGCACCTCTTCAAATGGGGTTTGGACTGAAGACCTGCCAGTCGCCAGGCAGCCGCTGGCGAGTCGGAGCGTGTCGCTGCCACGCTGCGTCCTGGTGAGCTGCTCCTCTTCCTCTACTCTGCGAAGCTGGGAGGGGGGCAGTGAGAAGGGTCCGAGACTTCCTTGCCACTATATCCTCCAAGGAAGAAGTTTGCTTCCCGGAAAAGAGGATTCCAAGTTCTGTTATCCCGGCTGTCTTGTGTGTATTGCCAAGATTCCCTAGCCATCCCTGCGCGAAGGACATCTTACTCTGTTTCTTGCTTTCCTTGGTTCTTTGTTTGCCGGAATCTGAAAATTGAAGCAACCATGCTTGGAACGCAGCGGCTGGATTTACATGCGGCCTCAGGTTTGCATGCAGCAGCACATGGGAGTGAACATGAGTCTGCCATGAGGTATCTTGCAGTAGGATGCATATTCGTCAAGATGCATTGGCAGTGGAGTGCCAGGACCTATCACAATGTTCAATTTAATGTATGTGTTCAGTCATAGGTACAGGTATAGGTACAGGTATAGGTGTAGGTATAGGTGTATGTCTGTGTGTATATATATATATATATTTACGTGTGTACGTATATATGTACATACACATATGCATGTATAGTTTCTGTACTACACATACATACATGCATACATACTTAAAGTCGCATATCCAGTCCCCGCGTGTGTCTGAAATGAAGCGTTGCAGGCATGCGGCGGTTCCCAACTTCTCCGAATTCGATCGGTGTCTGCTTTACTCCGTTTACGGCCCGAAAGGTATCTCAGACGAGCCTTGGATGCATTGCAGCCCGGAGCGCAGCGCAGCATGGGCATACAAAAGCATTTTTGTGATCCAGAAACCAAATGGGGCTTTGCGGAAATAGGGGACCCTAAATAGTACCCTAAATAGTAGGATCCTCATTATAAGGACCCAAAATAAGGTACCCCTTGTTTTCGGAAACTCCCAAATGGAGTCTAATTGCACGGAACTCACGGCCTGGATGGCCTGTCAGGCCCCGGCCTGGAGGTTCAGGTTCTCGGATGTGTCTAAACTACAAGCTGGTATTGCGGAACTTCCACACTCGACGCATCAGTCTCGTGCCAGATGCTAGTGCAAGTCTTGTTGCCGCTACCGTCCCCGTAACATCCCTAGCTTTCGTCCGGCGTGGCAGTGATTTCGGGGTCTCCGTCCTGGATCCTGGGCCGGGGTGGGACCTGATTGGAACTTGCCGCTTCGCAAGTCTGGGCATGACATAGCCAAGGATCTCAATGTCAAGGACAGTGCTCCTTCACTGTCGAGCTTCTCAAAGTCAGAAGCTTCGATGCTTTCCCTGATGGCGAAGAACTTGAATTAAACAGACCGTTACGTTTAGAGGCTACAAAGTATGGCTTCGTTTGAACGGCGCTTGCTCATTTCGACACGCATGGCGAGCGAAGCAGCCTTCAGGTAGCCTTGGCAGTGCTACGCTCGCTTTCAGAAGTGTCTTGACGTGTTTCTCAAGCACATGCAACAAGCCATGTGTATCAACAAGCCAGCTTCTGGGCTGACAAAGACTGGAATCTACGCATGATCATGCTCGCTGTAAGTCGTTGTGCAGGGACCCTGCTCCGTGATCCAACATGAATCAACACAATCTCCTGCCAGGCTTGTGTCGATGACTTTGCGCATGCCGATCTGGGGAGAAGGTCCGAGACAGATTTTTGCAGATGCTTTCATTTCAACACGCGGGGGAGAGCAGCGCTTGACCAGTTGCCGCCTCTTCGACAGCGTGCTCTTCGGCTTCCGCCCTGACACAGACGAAACGCTAGACCAAGCACAGGTGCCTTGACAGCTTGATGGCTGACTTGTGTCGCTGCCAGCAACTGCATGCCCCGCCGCTACTGTTAGGCCGACTTCGAACAGTCCAGAGCACCTGGGCATGAAACTGCTCAGCTATTCACGAAGAAGCCTGGATGTGAGTGCGCGTATGCGTGGATTCCCGGGAACGGCCACTCTGATTTAGCCAAGGCTTCCGGTGATCAACGGACACAGGCGCGGCCAGCATCGACGTCTTGAGCTGTCGAAGACTGCTTCATCAGAACTCAGGTTTCATTCGGATTGCGAGTGTCTCATGTGTCTCCAGGGTATTGCAAATATTGTCAGTCTATCCAACTTCGAGAGTACATTCTTGATCGACTCTTCTTCGATCGACTCGCCTGCTGACAGTCTGCTGCCCTCTTAGCCTACGCGGATGCAGCAGCGGCGCAGGAGCTGTGATGTATGAATGTTTTGGCAAGTGTGCATGTGTCATGTGTTACGATGGATGTGGTCAAGACCTCGTCGTGCCGCCAGCTTCTGCTTCAAGTGACATGGGAGACAGGCATGAAATCATGTGAAGGCCCAGCATTGGGACTCAAGCATCTTCTCGTATGGTTGTTGCGCCACCAGCCGTGGCATGTTCTTCTTCCGCCCATATGCAGCGCAGTCTCCAGCTGCACCAAAGCCGCCAAAGGCCAGCCTGACAACTTTGCTTGTCTCCTTGACTGCCGACTGCGGAGTCGCCAGCAGAAGCTGTGCTTGCTGAAACAGAGCCTCTACAAGAGATTCCACGGATTGAGAGTGACCGCGTCTGGGAGCACCTGTTGAGAGAGGTAGAGACCCGCTTGCTTGGCTTCTGCTCGGCCATGTGTTATTGGTCCCAGAAGGCAAGCGGCGACTTCCGTTGCGGCGCATATGTGTGGCCGCAGCTTAGCTCAGATCTTGACGCTGAAACAAGGCATCTGTGATCTGTGCAGATTCTGCAACTCACTAGTGCGTCATTCCGAACCAGTCATGAAGTTCTCTTGACCACTTGACTAAGGCTCGATGTTAGATTTCGCGTGAAAACCCCGTTGCCGCTCGGAAGAAATGTGCACGCCAGTTATTTGTTGGGTATTCTGGTAATGACATATTCACGCAGGCCTACTTCGGAAGCTGGCCCGAGGGAGGGGAGGCATGCACTGAGAAAGCATGTGTTTCTTACACACGCCCCCGCATTTGGCGATTGTGGCTCATCATATGTCGTGAACACGCTCTTTGATTTGGCGATTCCGTTTCATCACGTATCTTAGCCACGCCCCGTCATTTGGCGATTCCGGTTCATCACATATCTTAAACTCGCCCCCTCATCTTAAACACGCCCCTTCATGAAGCGTTCCGGTTGTTGACGCCCAGTCGTTTGGCGATGGCAGTTCATCACTTATCTTAAAACTCGCCCCCTCATCTGATACACGCCCCTTCATTAAGCGTAACCGGTTGTTCAAATTTCTCAAACCCGCCCGCTCATTAGGCGGACCAGGTTAAACGCATCTTTTGCACTCGCCCACTCAGTTGGCGATTCCGGTTCATCATGATCATAATCATCATCATCGTCATCATCATCGTCATCATCATCTTCATCGCCACCATCACCATCATCATCATCATGATCATCGTCATCAGCATCACCATCATCATCATCATCATCAGCATCATCATCATCATCAGCATCATCAGCATCATCAGCATCATCAACATCATCATCGTCATCACCATCGTCATCACCATCGTCATCATCATCGTCATCATCATCATCATCACCTTCATCAGCATCATCATCGTCATCATCATCATCATCATATATCCCAATTATGCCCCTTCATTTGGCATTTCATCATATGTCTGAAACACATTCCCCCAGATTTAGTGATTCCGGTCACAACATATCTTGACTACGCCTCATTTGGCGATTCCGGTTCCTCATACATCTTAAACGCCGGTGATACAGATACATATCTTGCTTCTGCCTGTCTTGGTCTGGAGCAGGACCAGCGCTGGACAGCTAAATCAAACGTGCACAGTCTCACATGTGTGCATTGAAGCCTCTCTTGACCATCCCGTCACTGAGTGGAGGCTTGGGTTGCAGTCTTGTCTCGGCCTCCTTCCGCGCTATCCCGCCCATCCGTCCGCGTTAAAACTGGACCTGTGTTTCGGTTTCAGGCCAGGGTTTCCGTACTACCCCAACCTCTTTTCTTCTTACGCTTTCTCCGTTACGGCCCAGCCCTTTCCTCGTTACACCCCTCACCCGATGGCCTGTGGCGAGTCGGTCGGAACCTTCGTGAACCCAAGCATTGAGCGTCTTCAGAGTTCCGAGTCAGACATGACTAGACAGCTTGGCGTTCTCAAGAGTTGCACTCCTTCACCATCAGTACCGGCATGTCTTCTCGGTCTCGGCGCGGCAGTGACCAACTTTGATGTTCAGGGGGCATCGGCCGGAAGTTTCCAGTGGCGATTTCCGGCAGGACTTGCTAGCGTCTGAACTCACCTTGTGCTAGACGTAGCTTCAGTCTTCGATGCAAGGGGTACGCATCATGCGCTAGGATCACTATCTGCAGCCGACAACACCGGGCCGATGGACATGCTTCCAGCCTTCGACGGTTTAATCAAGCTGAATCTCAAATGATTGGCGAGATGCTGTTTGTGAGCGCAGCAGTAACGGCAATACGAGGAGACTCCCGTCATGCAGCCATGCCCAGCCCGAAACAAGAAGTTCAAAGCAAAAGGAGAGGAAGAACTACACAATGATGAAGTAGTAGCACTAGCAGCAGTAGCAGCAGGAGCAGTAGTAGCAGTAGGAGCAGTGGTAGCAACCGTCGTAGCAATGGCAGTAGCAACAGTGCCAGCAGTTTCAGCAATAGCATTAGTTGTGGCAGCGGTGGTGGTGGTGGTGGTGGTGGTGGTGGCTGCGTTCGTGGTGGTAGTGGTGGTGTTGGTGTTGGTGTTGGTGGTGGTGGCCATGGCGGTAGCCGGTAGTGGCAGTGTTGTGGTACTGAAGAAGCAGCAGCAACAGCAGCGGCAGTTGATTGTAGCGGTTGTGGTCATGCGTGGTAGTAGCAGAGTTGGTTGAGGCATGAAAGGCGACAGTAGGTCTAGACTTTGCCCTACTCGTAACTGCAGTCTCATGCTAGCCATCGCATCTGCCAATGGTTGCAGAGAAGGAAGTGTGTTCAGCCTACGTAGATCGCGCTCACTTGCGGACGGCCAAAGCTAGAGTGCCTCTCTTCTGGGGTGCATGAGTCGAGGGTTGCTCTCCAGAAGCAAAGGCTCTTGCGGCAGTCAAAATCGCGACGAGGTCGAAGCTCGTCTAAGTTTGGCATGTGCTCATGGCTTTAAGCAATCACTGTCACGTGGAAGTGGCCTGCCCAAGCCGGAGAAGTCTTCAGTTACTCCAACAGTTCAATGGTCCATGCCCTGCTGCTCATGTAGCAATGTCCACCTTGCCCAGCCCAGGACTACTGTCGAAATTGTGGTGGTCCCCTGGCTATGTGGAGGGATATTTGAATCCCGTTTAGCCCAGTGTCCACGTCACAGCTACGAAGCAACTAAGTCACTAAGACAAGTTTCGCTAGGGACATGGCTGTAACAGTAGGGTTGCTTCGCGCGAAGGCTTTCATGCAAGGATTCTACTGATTGGCTGCCTTTGAGCCCGAGACGCTGTAAGTGCCTGGGCTCTCTGACGTCAGGTCCGTCTCCAGCCCAGCGCTCTCGTGATGCGGAAGCCCGCCGTCGCCAGGAGGAGTTACCGTCCTGATGTTGTTCTCGCTATGTGGCCTCTTGAATCGGGCGACCGTTGAGATCTTTCGTCTTGCCAGTCGTCTTGCCACCGTCTTCTTATGTTATCATGCCTTCGGACAGGAAGCTGTACAAAAGGCACAGCAGAAGCGTGAGGACGGGGCAACTGTGGACACTTCGACAACGGTTTTTGATGTCGAAGCAGGTCTAGACCTAGAGACAAGACTGACCAAGAAAGAAGAGTAGACACTTCTCTCGTCGGGAGTGGCAGTGGTGGGAAGCCTATGTGACAGCAGCTCCCTGTATCTGCGATGACCGTGAATTAATGAAGCCAGCTGGCAACCCCGCTGCCCGCTGCAGGAGCGCGCAAATGCCGGCCAGCTGACCTTCGAGGCTCCAACGGAAGATGTAATCGAGTTAGACGGGTTGATACGCTGATGACCTCTCAAAAGGTCGCATCATCTAGCCTGCATGTTTCCCTCTTGTCATTTCTCAGGCTTCTGCACGTGTTCACCAGTTCGCAGCATTCAGACGTTGGCTCGGAATTTTGCCGGAGGACGTGCTGCATGCCCACTCCACGGGCTTCAAAGACGGGCACTTTCCCAATGGCTTGGAGGATGCCGAACTCGTAAACACCTTAGAGATGAGCTAACTGCTCTCCGTGCTCTTTCTTTTCAAGCCCCTTCCGTCGCAATATGCTTCCTGCAGGAGTGCCCCATGCATGCAAGAAGGGTGGACGTGGAAGCTTCTTGGCTCGCGTGTTCGGAGTTTCGAAAATTTCCCTTGGCCTTTGCTTGCTGTTCCTCTTTGGGAGCTCCCGCGGCTTTGACCCCGAGGCCTGCAAGGCGCTGCTACGCCAAGCGGCTCTGACAGCTGGTCATTTGCCCGAGTTCTAAGCGAATTCACTCAGCACGCACAGGCACGCACATGCACGCTTTTTGAGACAAAGATAGACAAAGTAAGGACAAGAGCTGCACGTTTTTGCAGCTTCGAGCAGGGAACGGCCGTCGTGCCCTCCCGAAGCCGTGCCTGAGACCGTGAAGAGTCGGCTCAGGTCGGGGGACTCTTTGCCTCCTGCTCTTACTGCATGTGATGGCCAGAAATGGCTGTCAGCACTCCCTGTTACAGGGCAATTCTTGAATGCGATCTTACGGTGGCACCACGCCACAGCAACTCCGAGCTGCACAATGTGGAGTCATCTCCAACTTCGTGGCGTTTAAAAAGCTGTAACTCACCGATGCACGACATGCCTGCGCACCAGATAGCCCAGTAGCTAGGCAGATCTACCACTCGTCGATGCCGTTCATCTTGTCCCCAGACCCTGCGAGACCCGAAAGCCGCAGTGGAAAGCCAGAAGTGTGCAGGAGCAAGCCAGCAGCCTGTCGCTCGATCCGGACCGCTGCCTTGCGTGGAGCACCGAGAGCTGCTATACTGCTCGTATCAGCTGCCACAGCAAGGACGACTCTGCAGTGCGGCTGGCACGGGAAGCCTTCAACCAGCTGCAGGCCGCAGGTTTCGAAGGTTTTGGGAGGGAGGGCTGCCTCCCATTTGCCCTTAGGACAGCGGCGACTCAGAAGGTCAGGCAGCCCGAAGCTCAGTTACACGAGCTCAGAAACCCCCCGAGCTGTGGTGCAGCCGCGTGCGCCCAAGGCTGCGCTGCATGTCCTGGCCAAGGCAGGGCCATGCAAAGCCTGCGAGGTGGTTCTGCTTGTAGGGCCTTGTAGGGATGCTTTGATTGAGATAGCCTGATCCATCCGAAGATGACACAGTCCATCGCAACTTGGAGACCTCTCCGTGCAGGGCAAACTGGCTTCCGGGCTGTGCCCTCTCGGCTGTGCCCGCTCTGTGCGACGAGAGGCGCATCTGGCCCGAAGCAGCTTCGCCGAGGCCATGCAAGCGGCCGAGGCCAGGGACACTTCCGACAGTTTAGGGCGAAGGCTTGGGGCTTCCAAGCGTTCGGAGCTCCACTGCCTAGGAAGCGCTGCAGCGCTTCGAGGCGCTGGGACACGCAGCAGGCCATGCTGCCACACTGAACGCGGCTAGGCCGCAGAGAGCAGTGAAACATCCCAGCCTGGTCGAGGGATGCCTGTTGCGGACAGTTTAACCAGTCCGGCCCCTTTGCGCATCGCATGGCTCCCAGGTTCTAGCCCAGTCGCTTCTCCGAGAGGCCGGCATGCGGCAGCGGGGCGAAGACGGCTAAGACAGCTAAGACAGCTAAGACGGGTGACGAGAGGGTCCGCCCTTGGCTTCGCCAGGATCCCGAGGCTGCTCTGAAGCACGCCACTGCGGGTCGTGATGCCTTTCGGCGCCTCGGGGACTCGAGGCGGAACTCTGGAGTAGCGCTCTTTAGCTCGTGTTTCCATGTGGGATGCGACCCCGATCCTCCAGGCGGGCCTCCATGCTGGAGCGCACTGCTGTTGGTGCTTCCTTGGCCTGTCTCGACCTCGGCTTGAAGATCTCATGGCTCTGAGAAAAGCATCTGTGGCTCCAGGTCTCTTTTTTCAGACATTGTGCATTCCTACAAGGTGGTGACACCGCACGCGCGTTAAAAGATGCAGAGGCCCTTCGACTGTGCCCACGTGCAGCATAGTGTCAGTGCACAGAGTTTCGCTGTTGTTCCCGACCTCAACGAGCCCGACGATCCTTCAGCCAGGCGTCGGTAGCTAGTTGTCGCCGAGATGCCGGAGACCGCCGTGATGAGGCTGCAGCTGCCTTCGAAACACTCCCGTCGTTTTGTTTTCCAGCTTGAGAGGCCTCAGCGATCCCAAATCGGCGATCCCTCTCGAAGTTCGGCTCAAGCACACACTCCTCGTCAGCTCTCCTGACTCCTGAAATCGTGTGGAACCATGGCTTTGCGCGCAGCCCTCGTTGCGCTTCTTCCGGCCGTGGCAGCTGCCGAGAAGTATGCCGTCATTGCAGCTGGCTCGTCAGGATTCATGAACTACCGCCACCAAGCAGATGCCTGCCATGCCTACCAGCTCATGTTGCAGAGTGGAGTACCAGCAGACAACATCATCCTGATGATGCAGGACGACGTGGCGAACAGCGAGGAGAACCCGTTCCCGGGCCAGCTGTTCAACAAGCCGGGCGAGAACCCACCTGATGTCTACAAGGGCTGCAAAGTCGACTACTCTGGCGAAATTGTGACTGGACAGCTGTTCACGGACGTCCTGACCGGCAACACGCAGGGTGCCAAGGGCAAGGTGCTGAAGAGTGGCGCAAGTGACACTGTGTTCGTCAATTTTGTGGACCATGGCGGTCCCGGCATCATCGCCTTCCCCAACGGCCCAGTGCTCACGGTCAAGGAGCTCTCCCAGACGCTGAAGACCATGCAGAGCAAGCAGATGTTCAAGCAGATGGTCTTCTACATGGAAGCCTGCGAGAGCGGTTCCATGTTCCCAGACCTGAAGGCAGATGTTGCTGGTAAAGTGAAACCAATAATCAAGCCAATAACGCATTCCTGGTTAAACAACTCTTTTGTTGTTTCCGGCCTCACAACTGAACATCACTGCAACAGGCCGACAGCAAGATCCTCGCAGTTACGGCCTCGAACGCAGACGAGTCTTCGTGGGGAACGTATTGCGGTGATTCTGCCATGGTGAAGGGCAAGAATGTCGGTTCCTGTTTGGGTGACCTGTTCTCCGTGAACTGGATGCAGGACGACGACCTTGGCAAGTTCAAGTCTGAAACCTTCCGCAGCCAAATCTCCAAAATTACGAAACTTACAAACCAGAGCCACGTGTGCAGTTTCGGCGACAAGTCGTTTGAGGATGAAAGCATTGGCAGCGTGGAGACCGCAAGCCTTTCCGTGAGCCCATCCGATGCAGCGCAGGGGTCCGTGGACGCCCGTGACATCTATGTTACCCAGGCCATGTGGGCCTGGCAGCATGCTGCAGACGAGGAGTCAAAGCAGAAGGCCTGGAAGCGCCTGGTTGGCACCATGAAAGCCCAAGAGGCCGATGAGGCCCTCTTTGCCGGCATGGCTGCTGCTGCCTGCGCGGTCGTGAACCCAAAGCACCTCGAGCTCATCCAATGCCAAAAGAGGCTTTTGAGCGAGAGCCTAGAGATGACGCAGATGGACTGCCACCACGAGCTGGCA